ACCAAAAGGCATAACTAACCATTCGTATAATCCAAATTTAGTTTTAAAGGCAGTTTTCCATTCATCACCCTCTTTCATACGAATTTGATGATAACCACTTCTAAGATCAATTTTAGAAAAGATAGAAGCACCATGTAATTCATCAAGCATATCATCAAGTCTAGGGATAGGGTAACGATACTTTACAGTGATTTTGTTGATTGCTCTACAATCAACACACATCCTCCAAGATCCGTCTTTTTTTGGCACCAAGATAACAGGGACAGCACAAGGGCTAAGGCTCTCACGCACAAAGCCTTTCATCATCAATTCCTCTACTTGGCGCTGGATCTCCTTAGTCTCTTCAGGGTTAGCCCTATAAGCAGGCTTGTTTGGAATAGCAGCTCCAGGCAAGAAATCTATCCTATGCTCAATTCCTCTTAAGGGAGGAAGTCCATCAGGAATTTCATCAGGGAATAGATCTCTATAATCCTGCAACAAAGAGACAACACTAGAAGGCAAAGTGGGGTCAAAAGTATTAGTAGAAAAATAAATATTCTTGGGAATTACAATAAGAGCTTGCTCACTCATCAAAGCCTCTTGAATCTTACTTTTCCCACACAATAATATTTTTTTTTCACTATTTTCCTTCACTCCCACCATTCTATTTTTTTCTTTTCTCACCTTCTCACCACTCTTTTTCCTCTCTTTTGATTGATTTTCAAGTAAAGTAATACTCTCTTTCTTTTCTCTCTCACTCATGCCACAATCAAGGAGATCTCTCCTTTGCTTGTAATCTTGAGTAATCTTTAGTTGATCTTCATAGGCTTGGATGGGCCTAAGAGGATTTAATACAACAGTCTTGCCTTTAAAAGGCACCTTGTAACAATTTCTAAAACCATCATGAGTAGCCTTACTATCAAACTGCCAAGGCCTACCTAATAACAAGTGTCCAGCAAGCATAGGGGCTACATCACATAATACATCACAAGTATAAACTCCAACAGAGAAAGTAATCAACACTTGCTTAGAAACCCTAATTTCAGCAGAATCATTCAACCATTGCAATTTGTAGGGCTTAGGGTGTGGGATTAAAGGTAAAGATAATTTATCTACAAGTAAAGTGCTAGCGACGTTAGTGCAACTACCACCATCAATTACCATGCTACACACTTTCTCTTTGATGAAGCATCTAGTGTGAAAAATATGCTCGCGTTGCTCATGTTCATCATCCTCCTTTGGTTGAATATTGAGAGCTCTTCTTGCCACCAAGATAGAGTCAACTACACCATTGCATTCAAGCTCATCATTTGATTCATGGGAGGTAGAATCATCATCAACATTATCAGCATCATCTTTATCACTTTCATGCACACTATCATAGCCACCATCATCTCTCAAGATCATAACCCTTTTATTGCTACAATCTCTCGCCATGTGGCCCACACCATGACATTTGAAACACTTAATAGGAGAAGTGTTAGATGAATAAGAAGAAGGTTTAGGGTTAGAAGTTTTACCCTCATACTTGGTCTTTATTTCTTCCTTGGCTTGGGATGTATCTTTGGCTTTGGAATCCTTCCATTTGGAAGTTGTCTTGGAGTCTTTCCAAGAGGACTTGGAACGTTTGTTCTTATTTCTCTGCTCCAACTTTATAGCCTTGTGTATGAGCTCTTCCTTGTCCACAAAAGTGTACAAGTCAAGCTTATCTCTCAACTCTGGCCTCAAGCCATCCATAATTCTTGACATTGCTTCACGTTCATTTTCTTGAATGTTTGCACGAAACTTCAAGATATTCAACTCGTGCACATACTCCTCCACTGTCATAGATCCTTGAGAAAACATTCTCAATTTTCTATTCAGCTCTGTATAGTAGTAGCTGGGGACATAAGCCTTTCTCAAGTACCTTTTAAGCTTCTCCCACGTTTTAATGGGCTTTTTCCCAAGTTGGCTTCTTTTGTACTGTAAATCTTGCCACCAATAAACAGCATAGTCAGTGAAATTCAAAGAAGCAGTTTTTACCTTCCTTGACTCAGACAAATCAAGAGTCATGAAGATTTGGTCCATCTTCATTTCCCAATCAAGGTATTTTTCTGGATTGTTGCTACCCTTGAATGAAGGATACTTTACTTTTTGGTCCGGTAAGTCAACACCACGCTTTAAGGATTTCTTTCCCTTAGGAGAAGGGGGTTCTTCATACTCCTCATCATCGCTGGGGATCTTATGCTTCTTTCCTTTAGAAGAGGAAGTCTCCGGCTCATCTTTATCCTCTTTATGGAACCTATGATCAAGTTCCAAGCGAAACTGCTGCAACTGTGTTTTGATAAGTTCTAAAACAGAGTTCATATCAATACTAGGGGATTCATCCTTGTTACTCATGTTCACAGAAGCACTAGAAACCATATAAGATAAAAATAGGTCCTCACACACACAAACTCACGTGTTTACTCTCAAGATAAAGTCACTCGTGTTTCACACAAAAAAAAAGTAATGGCTTTTTTTTTAATGATGAAAAACACACTTGCCTTTTACCACTCACTAAGCTTGTGGATAGAATCCAATGGTGAAACCCACAAATCAAGAAACTAAGGAACAATCAAGTGAATATCTTCTAAATTAAGGAAACTAGAAAACAAGCACAAGGTGAAAAGAGGATTTTTTTTTTTGCAATTTTGAAACAAATAGGAAAGCAAAATTTTCAAATAAAATTAAGCTTGTTAAAGGAAAAACCACACGTGACAACAAAAAAATAAGAAAAAAAGAAATAAAAGTCAAAGAGTCAAATACTCAAAGACAAAAATAAAAAAAACTAAATAAAATAAGAGAGTAGCACAAATAGCAAATAAGAGAGTAGAGAATTTGAAAAGTGCTACCAAAAATAAAAAATAAGAAAGTGATCAACGTAAAAGACTTTCTTATCACCCAAGTTGACTTTTCTCTTTAAGCAACCTCTTGGTGACTTGGAGTTCAAGAATAGCCTTTTTCTACAGTCATAACTCACAGCAATATATTTTTTTTTGTAATTTTTTTTTTTGAATTTTCGGATTTTTTTTTCTCTTTTTTTTTCTCAACACACTAACACTTTTTTTTTGCCTTTTTTTTGCACGAATTTCTAGGTATTTTTTTTTCTTTTTTTTTTTGAGAAGGCTAATAAAATGAAAACTCACATAAGATAAAAAGTCACAAAGATGAAGAAGAGAAAAACCAAAAGATAGAAGTAGATGGGGTAGATAAGAGATGATCACAAAAAGAAATAACTCAAGATGAAAAAGAAGAAGGAAGGACAAGAATTTAAACCAAAACTAGCAACCAAAGCTCTGATGCCAATCTGATAGGGACGCGGAAGCAGAATCGTGCTAGTTTAGGGACAGAACCCTGAAACAACAAAAACACAAGAACAAAAAGAAAGGGACGAAATTTATGACGGAAATAAAGAAAGGTATGAAGTAAACAATAGGATAATGATCAAGGAGAAGATCCTCTAGAGCACCTGCCTCTAGGAACCTCAACCTTCGAAGACACCACAAGAGTTGATCACGCTCTTGATCACGTCGGTTTCTCACACGGGATACCACCACAAAGCACTAAGGCTCACAAGAGTTATAAACTCTAAAATGAATAATTTCATTCAACTTCTGTGTTGTTTACAATAGGGAGCATGCCTAATTTATATAGGCTCATAGAAAAATATTTCCTAAAATTAAAACCCTAATTTCCTAATACTAAAAGAAGAAATAATGATAAAATATTCAGCCACATAATTTAGGAGATGTGATCCTAAAATTATGGGATTACAAAATTTAGAAATTAATATTATAATTAATTCTAACCTTTGACTAGACTCAAAATAGAAAATCAAATCAAAGGACCATTAAAATAGGAAATAATTTAGGAGACAATCAAGGGATCATAAAGGATTTGAAATCACGCCACCCTTGACTTCTTTACTAGGGTTTCATGCCTCCTTGCATGCAAGAGGCTCAACTTGTAGTCTTCCTTGCATTGGGCTAAGGTCTGCATCTCTTGGGCTTGACTCTTCATGAGTTTGGATCTTAAATACATTATACACGTATAGATGCTCTCCTTTGGACTTGAGGGGAGTGCCCCAATGCTCTCCAAGCTCTTGAACTTCTTGCACAAGACTGAACAAGGCTTGCTTCATGGCTTTGGTTCGGGCTCTTGTCATTGGACCTCCAATATGTTGCAATGGGTCTTTAGGTACGTTGGATTGGAAGTATTGGGCTCCTTCTATGTCACCATGCTCATGATTACCATCCTCAGGCTTCGTTGCCATTAATGCTATGTCACCCGTGCCATGGGGTCCATCATGAAGGTTTTGGAAGGCATACAGTTTATCATGTAGATACTGTTTGAGGGTTGAGCTATGGAATTCCCTACCCTTGACACTTCCATTTAATCGAGGGAAAACCAAAAGTAAACAATTCCAATAATTACCTAGATTTCTGAAGAAATAAACATTTCGGGAACAGTAGGACTGGCAAAGAAAGATATAGGAGAATGATGAATATTTGAACCTGTTATTTTTGAGTCTTGACATTTATTGTTGGTAACTGGTTTTATTGATCTATCAGCTGAGTATCATCAATTTTTCAATACTACAAATTTCATTCCCCTGTGGAGCTGAAATTGCATCTGCCTTTTCTTTTCTCTCTCCCCTTTCCCTTGCTATGGAAAAATAATTAAATTTGATTTTCTTGGACCTTTATATTCTGGTTTTAAAGTGCAATGTATATGTCAGAGAATAAGCATGAGATCAGTATTGAATGGATAGTACTAATTAAGAGGACTGGTATTGAATGGATAGTACTAGTTAAGAGGACTTGAGAAAAAAGGTAACCAAATGAGGAATTTATTTTCATAATCTTGAAAACTTGAGGGCCATTGAGAATTCAAACCATTGGATTGGTGTTACTTATTAGAAGATCGCAATGCCTGTAACAAATTTTTCATTATACTTATTGGGTAATTAAAAGTAATTTGACCAATTTCATATTTTACAGGTTGCATCTCTGCAGATGAAAGTGGAGACCGCCTCTTCCTTTCTGACTGCAATCATCATAGGATTATTGTATCTGATGACAATGGAGAGATTTTGGATTGCGTATGTATACAAATTATTGAAATTGGTTTAGTACAAGATGCATTTTGATTACGGGTCTTTTCTAGCCCATATTTCTATGTTGTCTAGTGGATGAACAGACTTGGCTTCTGGCTACATAGGCCCATGTTCTTATGCACCTTGTTGACGTTGTTTATTCATGTTTATACTGTTAAGAGAATAGTTTCCATTTTTAGGAGCTATTAAGAATGAATGGAAGTCTTAATAGGTTATGAAGATGATAATTACTTGTAAGTACCTAACTACCCAGTGTACAACTGTCTTTGTGATTATGGTAGTAGTTGCTGATGTTCTTGTAAGGTTGAGTTCTTGAGTTGGTTATTTTTTATTGTTCTTTTCAGAGGGGATTTATTTATGATCATCTGCAGTCTTCATAAGTTTCTGCTTGAGGGGCAGAGTTAAAAGGAATATGAAAAAAGCCTTAGGTTTATAACTTGGCTACTTGATGTGCACCATAATAAAAGCTATGTTATTGGAATAATAAGGCTAGGACTTAGTGTTATACAAATCGAGTCTTTTAATAATATATTTTATTTGGCCCCCTCCCTTTCTCCCTAACTCTAGCTCTCTACTTTCTCAAAAGTTTGGGTTCTTGGCTGGATTATGAAGTCTTGTATATTTCCGTCCATGTGAAATTTGATTGTTAAAGGGGTCAAGTTGTCTAAATAGCTAGGGAACTGGAGAACCATGCAAGCTAGGCTTGATGTGAACTATAAATATATATCATGTTACATACTCTGTTATTATGATATTAATTCCATCATAATCACCGAAAGAAGGCCTAGTGAAAAATGAAAGAGATATTGATGGAGACTAAGGTAGTGTGAGATGCCTGAACATTGAGGGTAGGTAAGTGGGTTAGTTCTCCCCCCTCTTTAGCTGGCTTTTTTGGGAGGTTTTAGTGGCCTGCTAATTGGCATCACAAATAGTAGTTGACAGTTTTGAAAAAGGCTACTTACAAATGATTTTGATCATTGTAGGTGTTGACAGGCTAGGAAGCCAAACGAAGTGTCCAAATTTTAGCCGTTAGGATGTTGGCTCTCCAAAGGGGGCCAATTTGATGGAGACAGTAGCATAGGATGCATAAGTCTGACATTGAGTAACATGAGATGCTTTATGATACTCAAGTGGGTTGGTTCTCCCATCTGAATAGTTTTTCAGGGAGGGTGCCTTGGGTGCCCATCAAATATATAGCACATTTTAGATATATGATGAAGATGACAACGCCCCAATCAAGAAATGGCATATGAATTGAAGGAGAGGTTGAGAGTAATGAAAGTGGAAAGATAATTAAGATAGAGAATTGGAGAGGTAAGCTTGAGAAGGTATTTTGATCAGCTCATGTTTTGTTTTAGGTTTTCTGGTCCTTGAAGATAAATAAGAAACACAAGGTCTCTGGAAATAATTATTTAAGTTCCTGGTCCTTACTAATGACTTTTCCTAAACTTTGTTCCATAAAGACCTCTTTTTGTCCATATACAAGAGAAACCCAGCTCAGACCTACTTTAAATTCTGCAAATTCAGCTTTTTCCCTGTTATCAGGAACAAGTGTCATTTTATCTTTTTTTTTTAAAATAATTTATCATAGTGTTTTTTATAGGTATCAAATTGTTAACAATTAACAATATTATTCTCTGGCCTTCCCCTAGCATTAAGAATTTGGGGTGAATTGTTTTTTTTAAAGTTCTTGTCTCTATAAAAGTGAAGGAGCAGCAGTTGGGAGTTACAGTTTTATTGTCTCTTTCAGATTGGCTCTTCCCCAGGATTTGAGGATGGAGATTTTGAATTTGCTAAATTAAGGCGACCTGCAGGTTCTTTTTACCATGCTGCTGAGGACTGCTTATATTTTGTAGATTCCGAGGTATCAATTTTGCTGTTGAGAGTTGCTAATGTACATGATTAGATTTGAATCTATATTTATCATATTTGATGCTATTTTATAAACATCAATCTGTTGTCATTTCGTATTAGTGTTTCGTTCTGATTCTAAATTTCTATTGAGGCTGCTATCTGATGTTGGGATTGGGCTGATTCTGATGGCTTTACACAAGACATTATATTGCGTTTTCTTCTAGGAGAATAAACTTAACCTTTGGTTATAAGAGTGGTATCTTCAATCTGGTTTCCAAGTGAAGGATGTTGGATAGAATTGAGGCCCAAAAGTTAATGAATATTATATTGTGTTGTTAGCACCTAATTGCTTATAGTGAAGCATATTCCTTAATAAAGGAGTGTCTTCAAGGATAAACTAATAGAGTTAACATGGGGAACGCCTTTAAGTTAGATATACTGCAACATTCAAAGGGGTTCATACTTATTGTTAACTACACTTATATTTGTCATCTATCCAAGCTTATATCAGACATCATTCTGTGGTGAATTTCTTAGTTTTTCCCAACATTAGTGCATTACAAGGGTGAAAGAGAGGAAGAATACCTGTTCCTGCACTTCTTCTCCTAGCTATATTTCATCTTCATTCTGTTTATAGCTTTTCTTCTTTATATTTTTGGATTGGGTTTTGACTTCATAAATCGTAGTGGCTTAGTCATTTTATGGAGTTGTTACTTAACCTTTTCATTTCTTCTGATTCCCATCTTTTAAGAACCTTGCTATCAGGAAAGCTGATATGCAAGCACGATCAGTGGAGACTCTTTATCCTATAAGTGCCTCTAGCAAGAGCAATGTGCCTATATGGACTTGGATCATGAATAAGCTGGGTTTAGAAAGCAATGCAGAGAGCAATGTTGATGAAACATCAGATGTGTTTGGTTCTAAAACACCATATTTACCATGGCATCTGTTGAAATCAGTTGATGATACTCTCTTCATTCTAGACCGCAGGTGAAAGAACTTGATGCTTTTATTTCATGGATAGTACTTGAATGTCCCTTGTTTCATAATATTTGAAATTTTTAGGCATTTCTCTTTTGCTTCCTTTTCCGTTTTCTTTATCATCAAGTGGTCTTATATGATAAGGTAGATAATAGATGCTGACGCTGACATTGTGTAGTTCTTACTATTTTCTTGTCTTAATTTAATATAATGGTTATGTAATTATTTTTCGGTCTTATTTGCAGGTTCCAAGTTGCAGGGATCATGGATTTGGCTTCAGCAAAGATTGACAAAGTTCTTGAAGGTTTAATTTATTAGTGGTTCTATGGTCAATAATGGAAGCCATTGTGTATCTGGTTGCAACTGATGAATTAATTCTTGAAATATTTTGCATTGAAAAAGGTTCTCCTGAAATTTATGAGATATGCAGAAAGCAGATGTCAAAGAAATTATCCCTTTTAGATCATCTAGCCTATGATGGGTTTCAACAGCAAATTGAATATGCCTATTCTGTGGAGGGCCTCCCTCATTCTGGTCTTTTATCTTCACTGACGACCCTGCAGAATCAAATTTTCATCAGTGATACAGGTATTTTGTTTTTTCCACATGCCCCTCCTGGGGGTTTTAGTACTTTCTGATCTTCATTGTCTTCTTTCTATGGTTTGTGTTTACCGCCTAATTTTTTGTCTCTAGTTGGACAGAGGATTTTGAAAGTTGACAGAGAATCTGGGGTTTGTTCAAAATTCCAGTTTTCCAATTTAGGGATACTTGGATTACCTTGTTGGTTGATGCCTCCCTCGGAGACATTTTATGCTACGTAAGTTATTTGTCTCAAAATTATTTTGGTTAATTTTTTTTTTCCAAATCCAAAACTTATCGGCGTTTACATCACAAAGAAGCAAGATTTAAATCATATGAAACATTCTAACTTGTCTAACACTTTACTGATTGACAGCACAAATGGACTTTCAGATGTACCAATTGATCATTGCAGTGTTTCCAGTTGCTACCAGGTCATTTTATATTGTACAACTGGCTTTGATTTTAAACATTCTACCATGAATCATCAAGAAGTTTTTTTGTGATGACATAATTCTGATTTTAGTCCTTTATCACCTGTGATGCTCTGATCATCACTTTATTTTAGGATATAGGATTACTCGATAGGCTGTTCTCTCTCTTTTATGTCATTCCGCTTGTATTTGCAGCAAAAAAAAAAAAAGGCAGTAATGATGCAACACAAACATACTGTTTTTTCTTAATTGACTTTGATGGCGTTGAACTTTCTTCAATGTGGCAGGTAAAATTCACATGCTGTTAATCGTGGATGTTCCTCAGGACACTGAGCTAGTACAACCACTGGATGAGGCCTGTATCTGGCGTCAGGCAAGAGGAGCAGCTATTGAAGTCTCAGCAATAGAGGATGTGCCAGGATCGGTAGATAAGGTTCTTGAGGATGGAAGAGGGACAGTCTTTGCTGAAGTTGTCTTGTTCTGTATTTGCAGTTGCTTATCAAATCAGTTCCTGGGTGCAGGTCGGCGTTGCACAACAATGGTATGATGAATTGGATGATCTTGCCTCTCCTAAACCTGAGTCAGAACAAGCTGTTCCAGATGATAATCTGAATAACAATTTAATGGTGGAAGATAAGAAAATTTGCATCACCTGCAATGTCAATACTAGTCCTGGAACGAGTGAGGTATAAATATTATTTTTGAAGCAGCAAAGGAAGATGGCAATGATTTTTTTTTTTTTTAATAAAAAAAAACCCCCTCTTTCTATTCATTATGCCGATTCTGCTAGGAAAGCACTGGTATTAAATGAGACATAGATAAGGCAGTTAACATTCAATTGAAGTCTGATTTATGAATACTACTATTAGATTTATATTGTCCTAGGTTGCATAGATACGGGTACGAGTATCCGATACGATACGGCATGATACGGGGATACGGCAAATTTTCAAAATTTTAGGATACGAGTACGGGAATATTTATAATGTATATTTCAACATTTTATGATATAAGTATAGGTATTTTGATTTTTAAACAAGAATTTCTAAAGCAATATAAGAATATTTATAGTAATTAACTAAAATATTAAGTGTTTTTTCAAGTTTTTAAATGATATAGTAAAAAATTATTGAAAAAAAAATCATATAACAAATGTTAGAATATGGGATACGTATACAGGAGTATCTTACAAGTATCGTATCGGATATGTATCGGATACGGGTACGTTTACTTTTTTGAAGTATCCGTGCTACATAGATTGTCCATCTGACTGCTACTTACCTCTGAGATTCATTTATGGGATTTGTGTACATTTTTTAAATTTATGCATGTCTAACTTTATCTGGAATTGGTTTTGGTTGTCTAATGCAAGACCAGTTACCTCTGCCCACAGCTTGATAATCATTATGTGTCACAAGTATAACTATTTTGTTAACAATTGGGAGCTGGGAGTCTCTGATTTTGACAGGGAGACAGTGTATTTCGAAGTATTTTTTCTTGGCCTGAAATATTTCTAAATGAGTTTTGTGATCTCTATTGTCATGCAATTGTTTATGCTTTTATTAGAAGCATAATACTGTGGGGATCATGTTGCCTGTCTCAGAGCAAGGGTTATAAAAGTTGTTAAACCTATGCCTTCCTGTTAACCGAGTGACTTCATTTTATCATTTTATATGTCGCTATCTATTACAGATGTTTACAGATTAGTAAGATTTTAAACTTGCTGCATTTTCTTTTATTAAAATTTAACTAGAATTTGCAGTCTTGGGAGTACTATGATTTTTTTTATGGAGTGCCTTTTATTTTAGCAGTCTTCTACACATATTGACAAACCTTGATAATGGTGGTTATCAACCAACCCAAAAAAAAAGAAAAAGAAAAAGAAAAAAGAAAGACAGACTTCAATGCTAATATATCTCCTTTTACACAGGTTATTATTTATACAGTGCTTTATTTGAAACTTAAAAAAGACCCAAACTCACAAGAAGAAAGCCCTGAGATTCATGCTGGAAGGATACTAGATATCATGAGCTCTGGGAGATGCTTGAAGATGGAGAAAGATCTATGCAGTCAATTTTTATCAAAATCTAAAGGGGACTTGAGGGATCTCATTTTCATGAAACCACTGCATGTAAGGATAAAATTGGATAGTTTAGATCATCCAAAGGCTGAAAATGAGAGAGATATAATCTTGACAGATTCATCCATCCAGGTAAAAGTTTCACTCGATTGATTGTAGGTAGATTCAAGAACAAAGTTGCGAACTTTTCATGTGCTTTTTGTAATGGTTTTTGCTTTCTGATCCAGATGGGTAACATAATATAATATAAAGCCAAGGTTTTTTATTTGACCAAAAAAAAAAAGGCCAAGGATTTTTAGGGCATTGTAATGGTTTTTGTATATTGTATATAATTTTAATTGCCCCGTGTGTCTAATATATAGCCAGGCATTAAATGTGAACATTTTTTTTAGGGGTTCAATTAATTTTTACGTTTTACACATGCTGGCGAGATTTCCTAAAATTGGGCTAGGCCTTTTAATTGGGTTGTCTATTGTTGTGATTTGGGCTTTATTTTTGGGCCTTTTTTTTTCGAATTTAATTTTTGACTCATTGTGAGATTTTAGATGTCGCAATCAATTAAAATTTCCTTTCTTCTGGCAAATCATTGTTAATTGACAATTACTGTCTCTTTTGTTGAATTATTTTGGGATTAAATAGTAAGGAGTGGCGGCATTTCCGCGTATCCTAGTTTCCTTAATCTCTAAGACATAAGCACCGAACATGTGTCTCAGATCAATTTTGCCCATTTGTTTGAGGATAATTTGTTGTACTAAACGTCTAATGCTTAATCGATAGCCTAGGCATTTCACACAATTTGAACATATATTAAAAAGTTTGACCAATTTTATTCAATGTATTGGTAGACGGATATGGATTGTCTACCGTGCCTTTATTGTACGATGCTGAAGTCCATTTAATTAACAGTGTTATAATATTTTTTATATTTCCCAGTTATATAAAAGATATATCATATTGAGGGATACTTGGTTTAATTAGTTGAGAGGTTGAATCAGTTTATTTTGAAATTTTTTGAGTCTTGAAATATGTAGCTGTGTCAAATAAAGATGCATATTGCACAAAAGATGTAATCCAAGGAATCTGAATTCATGAGTAGTCCTAATTGGAAAAGACAATAAAATATTGAAAATTGGGCGGGTGAATTATTGGTGTATGCTAGGTTTGAACTAGTTTAAAATAAATTAATATATTTATACAAATTATTGTATATATAAAAATTAAAAATTCATTAAAATTGAAATTTATTTTAAATCAAAATATTTATTGTATGTTTTTAAAGACTAAAATATATCTTGTATTTCTAACATGATACTTCAAATTAAAATATATCTTTGAATGGTAGGCTATGGGAAGACTGTGTTAACTGACATGTTAACTCATGTTAATGTACAAAAAGTCCCTACAATCTAGGGGTTTAGTGTTAAAAATAAATACATTGAAATTATTGCTAGAGGCTTGGTGGGACGATCAGTCAGCGCAAGTGTTTGCTTCTCTAAAAACGTGATCAAAGGTAATAATCAAATCTCGCATAATAAGATCTTTGATATTATTGATAGTGGTAGAAAGAAGATGATTGGTAGATAACTTATTGCGGATTAACGATAGAGCTTCAGTTGAGTCAGAGTAGACATTAACTTTGTTAAACTTTTTAGCCCAGCAGATAGAGTCCTTTTAGGATGCCCATAAGTTCAGTAGCTGTACTTAGGTGGTATCCAAGATATTTGGAGAAACCTTTAATTCAGTTGCTTTGATCGTTCCGTATGAGATCGTCATAAGAAGCTGTACTAATAAAATTAATGGAGCCATCAGTGTCTAATTTAACCCATCCTTCCTTGGGAGGGGAGCCATTTAGCTTTAGTTATATCCTCTTTTTGAGTGAGAAATTCAATTTTTGATTGGAGATATTGATAATTGATAATATCTTAAATACTGGTGAGTTATTCTAACTTTTACTTACAGTTGTAATTTTATAATCTACAAGTAAACATTCATAATTTACAAGTTAAATTTTTTATTCAACACTTGTCAAATAGGGAGTCTCTATAGAGTTAATTATGCATACTTAAAGCTATAATAATCAATTGGGATGGAAAATTCATGATTCATTATATAATTATAGCCTTAGGTAAACATAATTAACTTTATGGAGATTTCATATTATGTCAAATATTAAATAAGAAATTTAACTTGTAAATTATGAATTTTTACTTATAAAATATGAGGTTGTTGTTGTAAATGAAAGCTAAATTAATAAAAGTAGTGTTATTTTTATGCCCAACCTCAAATTACACTCAAGTTTTAAAGAATTTAATTTTAATTTCTGAATTTTGCGACACACATTTGTAAATAATTTTCTTTTATGGGACCTATTCATATAATCCATTATTTTTTTATCTTTTTGTTTATTGAGTGACCTTGATATTCTTCATCTTGAGAAACCTGCAGGCCAAAGCAAAGCTCAATATCTTAGTGATGGACAAGGCAACCCGCTTAGATGAAAAATATTTATGTAGACTAAATTGTTTTAATGAAACAATTTCCATTAATTTCATTTAAAAAATCACATTTTAAAATATTAGCTCTTCTCTTTTTGGCACCTCAACATCAAGCCAAACGAAAGGAACTTTCAAATTTAATGATTCTGACAATCATAGGTTTGGATGCACTTTTTCAAATTATTCTTATGCTTTCACGTACGTACGTATAATATTTGTGAAAAAGCAATTTACTGATTTTAAAACTAAATTTTTACACAAAAAGTGAAATTCATTACCACTACACATAGAGGTGTATATGAACAGGGTTGGGCTGGGCAGGATTTTGCTTGATACTCAACCCTGCCTGCAAAATACCCTATTAGTTTGAGCTAGACAGGACTGGTTGGGGAGGTTTATTCCGTTCAGCCCATCAAATGATTACCTTACTCATAAAATCACAACCCTTCTCATCACTTCAAAAAAAAAAATCACAAATTAACAATAATAACCCTATACATCAACTCAAAATAGCATCCATAAAGCCATAAACCATAAATTCACAATAACAGTAACAACATTTAATTATCCATAATTCAACATTGAACTTGAAATCTAAAACCACCACAAGTCTTAACACAATATCAAATTATCCATAATTTAATCAAAATTAATAGCTATAATTCAAAATAACAAAAACTTGAAGCATCATATGAAAAACAATAATTTCAAAGCATAGACTCCAATTCACAAAAAGCCTCTTTCTAATTTCCAACTGGCATGAATGGAAGAGAAAAAATATGTCATAAATAGACAGAAAAATTGTAAGAACATACATGAAAATTTAAAGAACAATAGGAACCAAAATATGAGAGAATTAACAACAAAAATATATAAGTTTACAGAAAAATTAGCAAGAAATCATAGAAAAGTTAGCAAGAAATTAATAGAAAAATTAGCAAAAAAACTACGTCTAAAGAAACACTTCAATGGGCACTAAAGTTGCATTTTTCCCTCCAAGTGTTGCGTCTGAAGACAAAAAAAAAAACAATTATATTAATATAAAAACTAAAGTAAGGAGTGTACATGTGTATGTGTGAATTATTAAACTTTAGAAAAAAAATATTACTTGTAAGCTGAATGATATTTTTTATCTCATTAAAGTTATCAAACTCTTGAAGCTTATCAACAAATTTAGAGAGAGATTGCCCATTCTACAGCTAATTTTGCCCACAAATCAATGCTTCCGTCATTTTAGGAGATAGAGAGCTCTTATATTAATCAACTACACATCCACCAATACTAAATGCAGACTCAAAAGTCACTGTAGAACATAGCTAATACATCTCATGCCATGTGGGAGAGAATTTTATATTTTTTAGAGTTTGAACTCTGAACTAAAAAAAAAAAAAAGGTCTGAACTAGCACTATAGAATTTAACCGTGATTGTGACCAATTCCTTCTCACTCTCAATAAGGCTGAACTTTAAACTAAAAAATAATAATAATTAAAAAAAATTAGGCTAGGCTAAAACGGGCTGGGCTACATGCCTTGCCCATTGCATGGCCCTACCTAGGGCTGTGCAAAAGTCTCGTGGTCTCGTTCGGTCCGGTCCGACCTATGAAAATCCGGTCTTGTTCAGTCCTGTAAAATGCTAGTCTTATAGGACCAAAAAGACTAAAAAGACAGGACTGATTTTTCGGGTAAGACCAGACTAGAGACCAAGCATCTGGACTACGTGGTCCGGTTTGGTCCTATATAATTATTTTAATATAATTAAAATTAATTTATAAATTATTAATTAATAAGCCTTGGAAAAAAAGTCTTAATCCTGCTTTGCACTTTGCACTCTGATAAAAAAAAACCTCAACACTGTTACTCAACAGCACTTAGCATCTCAGCCACTCACTCAACTTTGCTCTCATTCTCAATTTCTTCAATGTGCCAAAGCCCTAGCCCCTACCTTGCATTTTGCACTCTGATCTTGATCTGTTCGAACTTTGAAAGAACATGTCTGTGGGTTGATTTTTATTACTTCTGTTCTTGCTGATTTTTTTTCTCTGGTCTATTTTCGGTCTTTCCTCTGATTTTTTATTAAAGTTATGTATTTAAATCATTTGGAGTTTGGACTGTAACTAAAATATTATTTTCTTGGTGTTAGAAATTATTATGGATTTATTATGATTATAAGTGTTTTTATTATCTTAATTGAGTTTGTTAAGTTGAAATAGATTATTGGTCATCATAGAGAAAAAAAAGAAAAAAAAAGGTCAAGTGAGTATTGGACTAATAGGACCAGTCTCCCAGTCCTATAGACCAAGTCCAGTCTTGTTAATCTCCGGGTTTTCACAGAACCAGACCGGACTACGGGTTACCTAACCCAGTCCTTTTCATGAAAAGGACCAGACTCCGGGTTAGACTAAAGTTCAGTCCCGTCTAGTCTTTTGTGCAGCCCTAGCCCTACCCATACATTGCCCAGCCCAAACATGCACACATTTCCAGCTTTTTTTTTTTTGGGCCGAGCTAGGCAAAAAATAATAAGGTTCAGGCGGGCATATCGGATAATCGGGCATTATAAACACCCCTACCTACACACTTCATTTAACTAATCATTCACACACACACATATTAAAATAGGGCTTGAGTGACACTTTATATTAAAATAGGGTTTGAGTACTTTTTTTTTAAGTGTTGGTTGACAAGTAATGTTGTAATTGGATTTTTAATAGGGCTCTCTTTGTCTTCTTCTTATCAATTTTATTTTTCTTTAAGTCTTTTGAATGCGGAGATAATTTAGAATTTTATGATCCTTTTTCGCTAATAATGGATTCTAGGACTTTTGAGTGATTTTATTTTCCTTTGATCTTAATCTAATTTTATTTAATAAAAGGCTTTTTTTTTTCCCTTTACTGATCCTTTCTAATGTCTTATGTAAGACAATATACCAATCCTTACACATTTTTGCATGAAAATGTACTCAAGTTTTTTTTTTTCTCTTGATCATTTTTTGTCAATAAAAATATAAGCAAATTGTTCCAAAAATCATCTCATAAAAATATCAATTTTTTCATTTCTTATCCTTATGATATCTTTCCCAAGAAACTGTATTTATTAATGGCTGATTTTAATTACTTTAAATTGCTATTTTACTAATTTTAAGTTATTTATTTTTAATTTACACATGGAAATATTCTTAACTCTTCCTTATGAAACATATGGAAAAATTATTTTAAATTTTAATTCAAACCAATAATAATTTTCATTGACTTACCGGTAATTTACGAAATAAAATAAAATAAAATATTTGTATAAGGACAATTTGACCAATTACAAGGGAATTCCATTCTAAAAATTATCTACTAGATTTATGATGGAATGACGATTTCCTCGTCTATAGGAGCGAATTTTCTGGCGCTACATACAATTAAATTTAAATTAGAAATAGAAATAGAATATAAAATTAAAATTTTCCTAAAAGAAATTATCTAATTGCAATGGGTAAATTGATCTTGTAAGTTATAACCTTATAGCATTATTTCAATTGTGAATGTATTATTATTTTAATTAAATTAAATATTAATCGTTTTTTCCTCTTCCAAATGAATAATGATAAGAGATAAAATATTAATATTCAAATCAATTGTAAATAAAATTAATAAATAATTTTCATCCACTCTTATAAATTTCAAGGAGCGAAGCTCGCCGATCTCTGTAACTTTCTTCACATTTCTTAGGAAACAGAAACGACCATGTCGACCGTTGGCTTGAAGCCAGTCTCCCACATTCGTCGTCGGGAAATTCCTCGTCGTCGTTCCAAATCTAAGCCATTTTTCAGAAGCATTAGATTCGTGAATTGCTATTCTTCCAACAGTGATGTGTTCTCCAATGCCAAAATCTTCAGCAACTTCTGGCGACGACATATGCCTCCGTCTATTTCCGTCTCTACTGTATCGATCGATACTGATATCTTGGAGCCCTTTCAATCCGCTAATATCTCTTTCAAGGACACTTTTCCTGTGAAACTTGTTGAAATGGTCTGAGCTTTGTCTTCCACTTCCAGTATCTTTGCTTGTTCGGTTTCCAGAATGATATTATTTTCCTTTTTTCATTGTTTTTGAATATATTTTTTAATTTTTTTAATAGTATGATCAAAGTATTCTCAGAGTTAGTTATTTTTTCCATAATCCATTTTGAGATGCATTTTCCAGAGAAATCGAACCTCAGAAAATGAGATTTTCTTTTTCTTTTCCCGCTCCAAGGAACTGTTTGGTCTCCAACGAAACAAATTGCTTATGTTGAAGGAAGTTAGATTTGTGTTTTCTGGATTTTACAAATGTAAAAGGAAGCGAAGTTGGAATAAGATCAATCAGTTGATTCTGTTTTTCTCACCTTCTTCGGGATCATCCGGTTTTCTTTTATTTTGCTTTGTTTCCAAATCAGACTGATGCTTACACTTTTAAAAAGGTCTTGACGAGAACGTGAAAGACATAAAAGGATATTTTCGTTATTATTGTTACTTTTATTATTTTTAAATGTCTGATCTGAAACTTAAAATATATCGGTTTTTGATATTGGTGACACTTTTGGATTATTAAAATGAAATTTGCAGCTGGAAGGAAAGATCACCGTAAGGTTAGATCAAGTGAAACATTCAAGCAACTGGGAGCTAAGGGTAGGTTGCAATCTTCCAGGAAAATGGGTTCTTCACTGGGGTGTTTCCCACGTCGATGATGTTGGCAGGTGATACCATGAAGGATTTTTTTTTTTAATGAATTTTCTTTCTTTCTCATTTCGAGGTATTTTGTTCTTTTGAGTTTCTTTACGTCATTTTGATAACCAAATCTTATTATCAGTGACATAATAAACGCATTAAACTACACTGTATATTGAATGATATATGTTTATTTTGCAGTGAATGGGATAAACCTCCTAGCAATATGATACCTCCCGGCTCTATTCCTATAAAGGTATATAAATACTTCTCTTGATCACAAATGGGATGCGCTTATTAATGGCATGGAGAAAGTTTAAATTGGAAGTAAAAAATTTCCAGGACCACGCAATAGAGACACCCTTGAAGAAATCATCGTTATCATCTGCTGAAGGAGATACATTTTATGAAGTCAAAATTGATCTTAAACCCAGCAGAGGAATTTCATCAATTAATTTCGTTGTGAAGGTTTGTTTTACACAATTATTGGCATTTGCAGGTGTTAGTTTTTATTATTAGATAAAACCTTTTAGCTGAAACAATTGTTATGCAGGATGAAGAAACCGGCTCTTGGTATCAACACAACGGAAGAGATTTCAAAGTGCCTCTGGTTGACTACTTCAAGGATGACACTAATATAATTGGACCTAAAAGGGGCTTTAATTTCTGGCCAGGTTTTAAAAAATATCCTACATTTTCTTTTCTCAATACAGTATAATTTGTCTCACCTTGAAATTGACAAATCCTTTGGTTAATTGCTTGCGTATATTATCTCATTTTATGAAAGAGAACCATAAAGGATTGATAGAGTGAATAGCGATTAATTATTGCAGCAGAGAAAAGGAAAGGAGAAATAAGATTTCCATTTTTACATATTTCGCACCTTTGCAGTATTTCATTTTAATTATAGGGAAAAATACACATCTAAAAGTCATAATCCCTGCTTCTCCTCATCGTTGATGGGCAATGAAATATCAGTAGCAATTGATCTCTGGAAGTAATTAGTTCTCTAACCTCTCCCTGTATGTAATCCATGTGCTGGAGAATTGTGGAAAATTGAGCCAATGATCTTGTCCTTAATAGTTTATTCAAACTACATTTAAATTAGAGAAGCTCTGTGTGATATTTTTACTTTTATTCAGTTTGGATGGTTCTTTGGAAAATTATGTGGTGAACTTGAACTGAGACATGTTTTATGGTATTTCCTGACTCAGGGGCCTTAGGTCAGTTATCCAGCATACTTCTTGGAACGCGCACAACACATAAAAAAGGTCAAGAAAACAGCCGCGAATCCAGAGATTCCAAAGGAGAAAATAGTCAACTTGAAGGTTACTACGTAGAACTTCCTATTGCAAAGCAGATTTGGGTCAATAAATCCGTCAGTGTCTCCGTTAGGAATTGCCCTGAGATGGCCAAGAACCTTATATATCTGGAAACAGATATACCTGAAGATGTTGTCCTCCACTGGGGAGTTTGCCGAAATGAAGCAAGAAAGTGGGAAGTTCCACCCGCTCCTCATCCTCCAGAGACAGTATTTTTTAAAGACAGGGCTCTGAGAACTCCCCTACAGGTACAGAGCTGACAAGTTACCCTTCTTTTTACGCTAACTAATCTGATGGATTTTGGTTTCTATGCATTAAATGGTGCACTCTTGCCGTTGATTAATTCAATGTACACGTTTTAGAATATGGACACTTCCATAAGATTTTAAACTTGAAATGTAACGAAATTTTTGCAGTAGAGGCAATTTCTTGTGAGGCCCATATTAAATACCATTCATTGTTGGGGTTGAGATTATGGGACCTTAGAAAGAAAGGGTGCACTTTTTCTGTCTTGAAATTAATCGTGGGATAACCTGTTCGTCTTTGTCCTTCCACTAGTTTTTCCGTGCGCTGTTTTCTCAAAGTCAAATACATTTTCCTCTTGTTTTTGGAGGATTTTTTGTTCCTTTTTTATTTTCACCTTTTCCTTTCGCTTTTTGTTTTGTTTTTGTTTTGGAAAGCGTAATCCATCAAATGTCGATAGTTTAAACATGCGCCCAAACCAGTGCATTTGAGCAACTCCCGCCTCATTGGTTTTTTAATTTGTTACGTAGCAATGTAAGCCTAAATGACACGACTAATTTATGTAGATTTTAAATGAATCCATGCAATTTTTCATTTTTTACTCAATTTCCACCTTCCTTTCTTTGTAAACTTGAAGTTCGGTTATCTTATGCCGGTTCCAATTCATCATTGTAGTTAAGTTCCCTTTTTTTGTGTTCTATCGTATTATTGACTTGCCCCTCCTGTTTCTGCAGCCAAGAGACGGTGAAAAAGGGAGCTCAGTAATAATCACTTTGGAAGAGGGTTTTGCAGGATTTCTTTTTGTTCTTAAGCTAAATGAAAATACTTGGTTAAATTACATGGGACGTGACTTTTATATTCCTCTTCCAAGTTCTAGTAACTTAAATATGAAATACATAAATGGTGAGTCGGAAGACGTGCATTTACAAGAGAACTTACATATGAAATACATAAATGGTGCGTCGGAAGACGTGCGTTTACAAGAGACTGAAGAGGCAAGTCAAACAAACTCCTTATCTGGATTTGCTGATGCAATAATCAGAGACTTAAAGAATTTGGTGTCGGACATTTCCTCTGATAAGAATCATAAGGTGAAATCCAAAGAAGCTCAAGGAAACATTCTTCGAGAGATTGAAAGACTTGCTGCTGAAGCCTATAATATCTTCAGAAACTCCGTTCCATCTTTTTCAGAGGAGCCTCCAGTAGAAACCAAGGCTACTTCCGGCCAAAAAGAAACTAAGGCTACTGTCGAAGTAAAGGAAAAGAGCTTGACTCCAAAAATCTGCTCAGCAAGAGGAACAGGGTATGAAATATTATGTCAAGGGTTCAACTGGGAGTCTCATAAATCTGGAAGATGGTACGTGGAGCTTAAACAGAAAGCTGAAGAGCTAGCCTCACTTGGTTTTTCTGTGATATGGTTACCACCACCAACAGAGTCTGTTTCACCTGAAGGATACATGCCAAAGGATTTATACAATCTAAATTCCAGGTATTACATTATAATGTTAATTACTTAATTCAATAATTTTTTTCTTTGCCTAATCATCTTTTAATTTAAAGATGGAAGGTCCAGTATTTGGAAAACTGCTTAAATCTGAAAGTACATGCCATATTTTGGACGTTCCAAAATTTAGTTTATCATCACTTAATATTGTTGTGGATGCAACTTGTTACTATTTTATTGCATATATCAGATATGGAAGCATCGATGAATTGAAAGATTTAGTGGAAAAATTCCATGAAGTTGGGATCAAGGTTCTTGGAGATGCTGTCTTAAATCACCGCTGTGCTCATTACCAGAATCAAAATGGTGTTTGGAACATATTTGGTGGTCGTCTGAATTGGGATGAGCGTGCAGTTGTTGCTGACGATCCACATTTTCAGGTATTTTTTCTGAACGGTTTTGTATCCATCTATTTTGTTATTTGTCCTTTAAGTTACGTTGTTCTTTCACAATTACCTGATATTGTGAAACATTGATATCAAATCTCATAAAATGTATTCAGTTAATATGATATATCACGTGCTTATTTTAAAATGTTCTGTATCCTAGGAAATGGAATTCATTTCCTACATATTGGAGACTTGAAGTTTTCACTTGTCTCACATTCTGATGTGTTAGACAAAGTAAATGGATGCACACCAAAAATATATATGTTCCAATGCCCTTTGCTTTCTTTTTTATGCGTTTTTTTTTTTTTTTTGGGTGACTGTATTGAGCAGTCATCTGAGGTGCAGGGGTCCATGTTACTTATATTTATAATTATATCCTGTACAAAGTTGACAAACATTTCTTTTCTGGTCGTACAATTACATGAGTCAAAATAGTTGTCGAAAATAATCTCTAGAAATTATATTTGAAAAAGAAATAGACTTGTCAATAATATCATCCACGAGGATCTAATAAAGCATTGTTGTTGTAAACTTATCATTGCTTTGTCAAGTAGACAATCATTGAAACTCGTACATTAATTCTAAATTGCTACTGGCTTTGTTAGTTTCATTTGCAATTCAGGAGCGATCTCTTCGTTACAATAGTGTTAAATAAGTGATATATTTGGATTTTTTAAACTTCCATCATTGTGAGACAATAGAAAGTACTGAACGTTTTAGGTACTTAAATTATCTCTTGCCATTTATTGCATTGAGCATTATGTAATTGTGCCTTATCCTGAATAAAAGCGAGTAGCGTATTTGCCTCTGCTTGTCATGTTCTGCAGTAAGTTGTTCTTTTTCTTTTTGTTTCTTTTTTTGGTGATTTTCTGCAATTACTTGTTACCTTTTGCTGCACTTCAAATCTTTAGTTTTCTAGGAATAAAGGAAACAAGTTCATTTAGCTGCTATAAAATTTGAATAGAATAGGTCTGATGACTAGGTTTCATGAACATAAGTCTCATGCTTACTATGCAATGGAAATTTTGATTTACTCCCATTGAAATTTCTGATTAAGTGACAAATATAGTTTCACAGAAGTAAAGAATTTGGAAGCGCTTTTATTATTTTTTAGATATGATATGCATGCTTTGTTCTTTGAATTACTTTTTACTACGAATACCTTAAAACTGTAATTTTTCTGGATGAAAATGTAATACATAATGGATATCCTCTCTCATACAGGGTAGGGGCAACAAGAGTAGTGGCGATAATTTCCATGCAGCTCCAAACATTGACCATTCGCAGGAATTTGTGAGAAATGATCTGAAAGAATGGTTATGTTGGTTGAGGTAGACATTATAGACCTTAATTTTTTTCTATCATAGTTCTTGGCCAATTTATTTTCCTTTATCACGGAACAAGTATAACGTTTAAGGGAAAAATGTTTTCAATTAGTTCTTTGGTAGAATATAAATTCTTACCATATTTATTTACAGTCCAACAGTTTCATTGTTAATTGTGCTGGAGAACTATGACAATCTGGTATTAAATATGAGGTTAGGATGATCTAGATTTTATTGAAAATTTCAGTTGGAAACTTGATATTTCAGACCTGATTGTTGCTGTTGATAGGATATGATAACAATGTGATTTATGTAATTGAAGGTGTTCCTAGTTTCATGTAAGATTTCATTTTCAACATCTTAGACAATAAATTGCCACCGTGATCTGTGGGTGTCTAGATGTGACTCAGGCATCTGATGGGATGTCCGTCGTTTTATGTATTGTAGCTGTAGCGTCAATGTTTATTTGGTATGAAGATGTCTTGAATACTTACAGATTCATGGTTGCTCTTTTCCTTATTTCAGTTCTTTATGTCAGAATACCCCTTCAGATTCCACTTCTTATATAAATGTTGGCAACTTAAATTTAGTTCAAACATTATTTATCTTTTATATTACTTTTCTAAGTCTTTGCCAGCTGGAGTCAACAAATTCTATGAACGTTCTATGTACGTAGGCTATTGGTATTCAAGTGATAACTGGGGGGAAAAAAACCAAGTGGTTTATGGTAAACATGTTTTGTCCGTGAGCATTGAGCCACTAAAATATATTAACAATGTCGGTTCTTTAAAAGTCAAGTTGAATATCTCTACCATATACATGCTTTGCAGTAGTCTGTTTCTTATATGTACCAACTCATACTCTGAAATCATTTTTACCTTGCTGCATATATAGACTTAGTTGATTTGCTCATCTTCCATTCATTTGTCTTTCCTCTTGTTGCATGTGATGTTTTTGTTTAGCAGAAACTGTACGTTTAACTTTATGGTCATGTATACTAAGGTGTTGTAGAAGAGTTGATTTGTTCTATCTTTTTGCTCACAATGTGTGATCATCAGGAAAGAAATTGGGTATGATGGATGGAGGCTTGACTTTGCCAAAGGATTTTGGGGTGGTTATGTAAAGGATTACATGGAAGCAAGTGAACCTTGCTTTGCCGTGGGAGAGTACTGGGATTCCCTGAGTTATAGCTATGGTGAGATGGATCATAATCAAGATGAGCACAGGCAGAGGACCGTTGACTGGATCAATGCCACCAATGGTACCGCTGGTGCTTTTGATGTTACAACAAAAGGGATTCTTCACTCAGTAAGAACTCACTCAGATAATTTCATTAAATTTTTCTAGATTTACAAACTCTGTAAAATACCTTTTAAGACATATAAATGTTTTAAAAGCCAGATCAAACATCGAATTGGAGAAGTTAGCAGGTTCAGATTTTTACTAGTCAACTGGTTAGATTAGCAATCAAACTAGTGACAAAATAATTAAATAAAAATATGAAGATTAATATAAACTAATAAAAAAAAGTAAAAGTACATTTAAATGCTAAAAATAACAAATATTTTTCTAAATATCTTAAAATAGGATATAATAGTTATAAATTATAATCTTTATGAATAATTTATTATGTAGAAGGCCTCTGTAGTTGCATTTCCATTTATCAAAGATAAAAAGAAAAAAAAAAACACTTACTCCTATCTTGAAAGAAGTAGGACCTCTATAAAGGAGGCTACACAGAAAGAAATGAAAAAAATATGGATGCTATTAAAAATAAATTCCTTTCCCCTAGTCTGCCTGTTAGTTATTAAAAATAAAGGTGTCATGACAGTGCCTTCTTTAAATTCCGCTCCCCATAGGCACTGGAAAGATGTGAATATTGGCGTTTGTCAGATCCGAAAGGAAAGCCCCCTGGTGTCATTGGATGGTGGCCATCTCGTGCAGTTACCTTCATAGAAAATCATGACACTGGTTCTACGCAGGTTTGAACTTGCAAAGACATCTTTTCCCAGACATTGTTTTTTGTGGTGTAGATTTATATATCACCATGAGGATATTTATTTGCGTAATTTTTAAAGATTTTTAAATAAGTTCCCTCTTGCAGCAATTGCCATATCACTGTGCTGTTATGATATGGTAAAAGAAATGTCTACCTAATATATATAATTGATTTCACATTCTTTTCTCTGGTAGGGTCATTGGAGATTTCCGAGTGGAAAAGAAATGCAAGGATATGCTTACATTCTTACTCACCCGGGAACACCATCTGTGTTCTTTGACCACATTTTCTCCCACTACAGGGCTGAAATAGGATCACTTATCTCTCTCAGGAAACGGAACAACATACACTGTAGAAGCACAGTGAGCATCATATGATTGCCTTTATTACTCAACAGTAACATACATGTGGATATTTTCTGGATTGGATGGATAAGATATTTTCTTCTGAGCTTGTCAAACAACTTAATTTGCAAGTCTTGGGTTAAAATTGATTGCTAATAGTTTCTTCTTTCTTCATGTTAAAGGTTAAAATTCTTGCAGCAGAAACGGACGTCTATGCAGCTGTCATTGATGGAAAGCTCGCTATGAAGATTGGACCTGGTCATTTTGAACCCCCTAAGAGATCCTTGGGAGGATGGTCCTTGGCTGGTGAGGGAAGAGATTATAAGCTTTGGGAGGCATCATAGATGCTCACAATATCATCATTTATCATTGCGAGCTCCAATTGAAGTGAGTCATGCAATGCTGTTTCGGAGAGGCATAGAAGCAAACAAAACTATTTAGCAAGCTGCAGAAGCTGCTATCACAGTCAAAAAGTCAGGTTCATCTCAAAACTGAAAAATAGTGTATACATTTAAATTAGGAAGGAGGTTGTGTCATAGATTGCATGCTTTGTATACATAACATTTTACAATGTACTATGCATGATTACATACTATATATACATTGCCTGCAAGGTTCAACGTGGTATATAAGAATGTGTAGAACAGTCTGCATTGATAATACAGGGTATGTTTTGGCAGCTTTATTGATGGAAAAACTTTTGTTACCATTGTGCCCAACTTCTTAGTGTTATATATATATATATATATATATATATATTTTAATATTGTTTTAATCTTTCCTCATATTTTAGAAGGCCGAGTGAGAAACAACGATCTGATGATGTTATCTGAGTTGTTAATATGGGTGTGACAGCGGGAAAGATTCTCCTTTCTGAACAACTTGAAACACTGGCTTGTCTAATAATAATATTATTCATATTCCAAGAACTGTAATAAAATATGGAAATTAGTATGGAATCAGATTGTGCGCGCGCGTGAGCCAGTAAGTTAAAAGAAGGATGTTCTGCATTTAGGGGATGTTTCCCTATAGAAAGTCGTCAACATGAACTGAACTAAGAACCCTTTGCCACGTAGCTTGACTTGCCATTGTGAAAAGGCAAGTACTACCTAGAGGATTTCTAGAAGCTTTGCTTATTTCAAATATAAGATTTGTTATATATATATATATATATAATATATATATAATATATTTCAATTACACTTTTACTATATTTAGTAATTAATGAGGGTGTTTTGAATAAGTCAATATTATATCTATAATATTCAAGGGTATGATTAAAAAAATGTGGAATTTTTAGAAAATTAAGATTTAAACCAACTTTTTTTAGAAACATAAATTAGTCAACAATGACTTATATTATAGTCTGGAGGGAAGTATAGCTTAATGTTCTTTGTGAGTAATGAATGGTGCATGTGAAAATCAATATATCAATATTAATATACTCCCTTTGACCCAAATTATAAGATAATTTGAGATAAAATTACACATATTAATAAAACATAATAATGACACTTTACAAACATACCTTTTCAAAATAAATTATAAATTTAAAAATTGTCCTTACACACTTAGTCATTAAGCTAAAATATCATTTTAATTTTCTCTCCACTTGAAGGGTAATATTAAAAAGTATCATCAATAAAATTTATTTTTTTCAAATTGTCTTATATTTTTAGATAAAAAATTCCTTCAAAATTATTTTATAATTTGAAATGGAGGGAGTATCATATAAAAAGTATGGATGCTAACGACAATTAGTATAGGTAACAATAGTACTACTTGCATCTTACAAGGATTTGGGTCCAATTTCATTGCCTATATAAAAATTGTGTTAGTGAGTAATCCACAAGTATCTTTGTAACTATTTTTTAAACTTGAGACCTATCTTGACTTTGATAAATTATCAAGATATAACTCACCAAAACTTTCTCCTCAAAAAAAGAAGGGGGGGGGGGGATGAAAAGTACGTTTGCCCTCCATAGATCATAAATAATTTTCATATTAGGCTCTTTGTAAACAAATACATAGAGCTCACATTTAGTTACTTGTCAACATAGTTTTTTGAAACAATGGTCCAACTATGAAATAAACTAAAAACAGTTGGTTCATTGCCTTTAACCTGTTGCAACTCCAATATCAAATGTTCAAATGACAACCTTTGATTTAGCAGTTATGCCTACAATATCAGATAATCCATTCAATGAAAAGGAGTTTGGTTGAAAACAACAATAGTTATTGAATAAATGGACTTTTTTTTTTTTTAATGTTTCTAGTCTAGCTGCCAGAATGAAGCTCATTACTATTTTCTGGTATGCTTTTTTATTATACAATACAAACCCAATGTAATAAATTATACTACAAAAAATATTGAAAATTCAAATAATCATATTATTTAGTTTTAAGTTAGTATAAGAAATTTTTAATAACTGATTCAAAAGGGAATATCTTTCACAAACAGGTGTTAACTAGATTCTTACCCTTGTGCATCGCACGGAAAAGTTCTTACTTCCTTCTAATAACAACTTAAAAAATGACAAAAATTCAATCTACATAACTATTCCTTTGATACGTTTTGCAAATCATCAATCAAGCATACAACAACCATAACATTAAGAAAAATTTACCATCAACAGGGCAAGATTAGGGATTGGATATAGGTGAAGGTCTATCAACAAAGTTTATACTGTTCTAGTAATTTATATTCTTTAAAATAAAATAATATAATAAAACAGTGATAAGCGACCATCATTAATGACCATTATTTATATTCTTTATATTTTTAAACTATATTCACATTGATCAATCACTTCATAAGTGATCATCATTAATTATTAGCAACCATCACTATTAACTAGTTTTTTATTCTAAAACTGTTTTTAAACTAACATAGTCAAATATATCTTGTTTTTGTTTGGTTTTAAAAAATAATTTTAAAAATTGTATTACAAAACAGTTTTTACAAAAATAAAAAAAATGGAAACACAATCAAAAGGGCCCTCACTTTCTTTCATTCTTATATATAAAGAGCTCTAGAGAAAATATGGCACTCGGATAATTCTTAGTTTGTTACATGTCATTACTATTTTAAACAAAATGTTTCATATGTCAAAAATTTAAATCTATTGATCTCATAAATCCTATTAAAAACTGAACTTGAATGATTATTATACATAAAAAGTATATCAATTCAATACAAAACATTCAAAGTGCAAAGATGCTATATTGACAATGGATTATAGGTAATATTATTCATCTTTCTTTTTTTGCAAGTAGTGCTATTCTTCTTTGGAAAATGACAGAAAAATCCCATTAAAAAAATGCAAATGAGAATAAGGTTCCACAAATCCTTTAATTCCCCTCAAGTCCCTGAGACTTATTAGCCATCAAATTTTAAAGAAAATAAATTTTTACCCTTATAGAAAATAAAGGGGGATGGTCTACAGGACACATTTCCCCGCATTCTCTTCTTCATCTCTTCGTCTCCCATGAACTATTTCAGCTTCTAAAGCTTTCCATAGGGCAGACTAGCAAGCTACCATTTGGCTAAAATATTCCCCCTATTAGGCCGCATTTGTATGTTTCTTCTGCTCTTATGTTGATGTTCTTGCATTTGTAAATTCCCTCTGCTCTTATGTTGATTTTTGCTTGGGATGCATGGCATTGAAAACTAAGCTTCATGTTTAGAAAGATTCTTCGGCGAGAAGAAGTTGCTACTTAATAAGTGGTTGAGGTTGTCATTTTCCCAATGTTGTAATCATTAAACATTTGAGTTGCATGCATACATTGGATTCCATCGATTTACGCTAAGTCGCATGAATACACATTGATTCTCATGGGCACAGTTGAGTCGTGTGAGTATCGCTAAGTGGCAGTGAGTCTGTGTACAGTATAGCTAAATGATAGATGGCATTATCTTGTTCTGGCATTGACCCTAAT